AACAAAGGGGACTGGAACGCGGCTTGGAACGCGGCCAAGCGGTTTGGCGAAAAGAAGGAAGTCGGGAAGGAAGGAAGAGTGAGCGTCAATGTCTCTCCAGAGGGTCCCTTGACGTTGCATTGCACAGAAAAGAGCATTCGGTCGCCAGCAGGGACTTCAGTCCATCCGAAGCGCTGGACGAGTTGGTCTCTGTCAAAGGGGAAAATGTGTCAGTATGGGAAAACTCGACATTTTTGGGTAATTTTAAGCCAAAGACACGTACTTGAGATGGAGTAGCCATGGATGGGCACGGCCATATGATTGAGAGAGCGCGTCTCCCGACGGTGGCAACGTCAGACCCGTGCGAGTAGCCCACTCGTCCAAAACCTTGAGATCTGTGCAGAATACGACGCGAGATCCAGCAGCCATCTGCACGACAAAGTGGTCAGCTCACACTGGACGAGCGCGAGGAATGCGGTGCCAAAAAAAAATTTAGAGTCGCCAGGCCAAGCAATTGAAAAGAGGCAGCAAGGCGGCTGGCGGCCGGGGAGGGGAGATGTGGGTGCAGAGAGAAAAAAGTTTTGAAAAATGAGAGCTTACAGTAGTTAATAATAAGAACGAATAGGAGATGGAGAGAGTCGGAGAGGAGAGAAGAGTAGAAGACGGGAGAGAGAGAGAGAAAGGGAGGGTTGGCGGGGACCAAGTGAGGAATGCACGAGGGGTCTTTATAGCAATCACCGCCAGTGCGCGAACAAGGCAAGCGGAGAAAGAAGGGCGAGATATACGGGAGCGGTGGATTGACAACGTAGTGGAAAGAATCCAGGGGTGAATTTTAATTTGTTTTTAGAGATAAAATAGAGCTGGCAAAAAGGATGCGTTTAGAAGAGCCGTACAAGACGGGTGTGTGAAAGAGACAATACCCATGGACGAGCTGAGCAAATGCTCTGCGGATAGCGGAATGAAGCTAACCGTATCAAGCTTGCTTGGACGTTTATTTTATTGCCAATAAATATGAATATTCGACGGCTAAATGGCGGGCAAGCGGATGGCTCCTGTCACTGCAGGCACCGTTTGCCATTACAGGCCCGCATATTTTATCTGTTTTTGTTTTTGTTTTCTTCGCTGTGCAGCGCGTCGTGATTCATTTGCTTATCTCGGCCTTTCCACGCTGTTATGCTGCTCGCGGCGCTCTCCGCCAAAAACTAGTTGTTTTCCCATTCCAAGCCAGCCAGCGACGCGACGATCAAGCGACGGTCCCCATGATGACGCCGGCTTCTGCGATTTTTTCATTTGAGGTTTTGGTGTAAACCTTGCGAGCGCTATTCTCGCGACAGTTCGTCTGAGAATGTTCCGGGTTTAGCCTAGGCTATTTCGAGTCAATCGGGTAAAACTGGCCGTTTCAACATAACAGGCGAGCAATAATGTTTTAGACTTTTATTCGGCTATATTCAGGCGTTGCTATGCGCAAGTGCTTCATCTTGAATTCTTCTTATCTAAAACCTCTTACGTGGTTTGTGGAATCCCCCCTCAAACAGAGTGCGTAAAATTTTGTTTGTGGGTTGAAATGTCAGTAGCCTAGCCACATGTCTTTATGCCGATCACACCGTTGCTTCTAGTACAAACGATCCACTCGCGCACAAGCAATTACGAGTGACAATGTCGAGTGCGGCCGCTCCTTCTCCAATTCCATGACAATCGCCCGTCGCCATCGCCTGCATCGACCCCGAAAATATAGACTATTTTTCTTTACATAAAGCCCTTGCTGGGAAAAACCGAATAATCCATCCCTTCAAGGGTCCCGTTTCCTACGCGACCCTTGCGTCAATTTTCCCTCCTAATTCGTCAGAAACTCGTACGACTTGTTAGACAGTGTATATCCCCCTTACGCACGTTGTTCCTCGTTGCGGAAAGCATTCGGATTCGTCCAAAGGCCGCGACAAGTCCTGGCTGTCACCTGCTGTCCTCCCTCCGACACAATCGTTGGGGGGCGCGCGCGCGTGTGTGCGGTCCTTGGCGTCGTATTGCTGGTTCGTGTCCATCTCTCCGTGAACACGGGAGCACTCTTGCCCCTGGTTCATGCTGCTTGTTCCGTTGGAGTGTTCTAGCCTCACATGGCCAGTCGGAGTTTTGTCTCGATGCGGAACGCGTTCTTTTGCACAACTAGCTATATTGTCGGGATGCACAGTGAGTCGTTGGACTTTCCAGTGGGCCACTGTCCATTGATGCTCTTGCAGCGCACTAATTGCGGGTCGCCCAAGTCGGCCGGCTGCCTCACCTATAACGCGGGGATGTTGGAGTCGACTGGAGTATCTTCGACACGATCTTTATACTCGATAAATCTCCTTCATTAACGTCTCGAATCGGTCGGTCGTCGCTCTGGACACGCTGGTGGCAGAGCCTTTGCCCCATGACGAACTTTGGTGGGAGGAGAACCAGCCACTTGACCAAACAGTGACATAATGTTTCGAACCCTAGGTCAGATTTATGAAATCGCTCGTGTCGTTGATTGGCTGAGCCAATGCCCTTGATCAGTAAACCTCTGGGAGAAGAGGGCCTACATTACCCTTCAGCCACTCCCAGCCTATGACGAAACTCGACCATGCACTCCAATGGGCTCAGGAACCTACAGTGTTCCTATCTCAGCGGTTAGCCACCACACTCACTGTGCCTATGGCGCCCATATGAGATGGGACTGTACTACTCCTCCCGATCGGCCAACCCAAGCCAGTGGACTCCACTTGCTATCTATGAACCTTCAAAGGGCTCAAATTATATGCATCCACTCGCCACTGGATCTAACTATAGTCGAAATGCTCCCCCATTTATACCGAGCTTTCTTCATGATCCATTCGACAGCCACTCACCATCCCCCCTCTCTCGAGGCGAAACGTCCAGGTCGCTATAAAACTTGTACAGGATGGCTTACCAGATCTCTCTCTGGACGATAAGCTCTCTAGCTCTCCTCTTGTGCGGCGTAATCGGCTTGATTTCGTGGCTTCGATACCTCTTTCATGACCCATTCCCCCACATCGATGGTCCTCCCTCTACCAATCTCATCTTTGGCCATGTACGTCCCACTAACACATTGTCGAGCACGAATGCTAATTGCTGTGCACCCTAGTTTCCCCAAATCCTCAAAGAGGAAGTTGGCCTCGTGTATCACAGGTGGCACGAACAATACGGACCGGTGTATAAAGTGCGAGGTACTGTATCTCCTCTCGATGCTATTATTCCGATCGAGTCGTTTCATTTCTGACAAACTTTTACGCGCACATGTGTATATTTGTATGCTCACAGGATTCATGGGCTCAGTTCGATGTAAGTGATCTAACCAAATCGGCCAATCGTCCAGCGCTACTTTCGACCCCTCCTACCTCCTTCCCAC